AGCATCATGTTCGGTTTCATATCTCGTTCATCTGTAAATATAGTTATAACTTTGGCTGTTTCTTTTTTGCCTTCCATGAATCTGAAAATCGGCTTTAAATTCTGAACAATTCAATGTACTTTCTCTTTCTTTTTAGGCTGAATGTACACTAGAAATATTTATCAGTTTTAAGTTATTAATGGTTAATATATACTCGAAATCCTCGAAACTTTAGCCTCTGGCATTTGACGAGAACGTTTTTCAAAAAATGTTATAATTCGTTCAAACAAATTCCCTTTTTTTTAGTGAAACATTATAATCCTTTTATTATTCTCCCAGAGCAGTGTGCGAACTATGTGTTTCGTTTGATTAAACTTAATCTCTTCCATTTGTTTTATTTTTATTTAAGTTTTCTTTAAATTCGCCTGACGACGACAAGTGTAAAGCAGCCAAAAGCGTGCATTGAATAAATAAATCAGAATGTCGAATAAAGCACGTTTATTTTTCAATCATTTATAGTTCTCAGAATCAAGCTGTAAGCCTCAAAAATTTGCAAGAATTCACACCTTTCTTCATTTATTCCTATGGTAAGTTGTATTACTTAAGCATCATCAGTGGCGCGACTAGACCTTAAAGAACCAGTAAAGCAAAATTATCCGGAGTTCTTAACCACTGGTCCCCTTCTGAGACAGCGGTAAGTCTACGGATGTACAACGCTAAAATCAGGGTTTCGATTCCCCTCGATGGACACAGTATACAGCCCGATGTGACTTTGCTACAAGAAAAACACAAACACACTTAACTACTGTTGTGGTAGTGGGGGGGGGGGCAAGAGGTAGGGTTCGTACGCTGTTCCAACCAGTAGCGTACTTCTTCAACAATAATACTCTGAAATAAACTACCCTCAGATTAGGCCTAATTTCAAAAACTGCCTATTATAATGTTTATTTCTTTGTATTGTGTCGATTTCATCTATGAGATGTACGCACGTCATAGGTCTATTATATATTTACTAACACAGAGCAGCAAAACATTTCTGATCGAATTAGTATCTTTATTGTAACAGTACTTCTTTAAATACAGGATTTCTAGAATAACACAAAATAATTCTAACCTCAGACACCTAAATCTACAACTCCACTTTTCTTAGGCCTAACATTAGTTAAGCCTTTATTAAGTACGACCGATATTCGATAAAGAGATAAATTAACACTGCAACTTGCATACGTTTTTTGCTTTAGTTTAGTTAGGGTTAAACTTTACCATACTTAATACAATCAATAAATAAGCTTATAATGTTATTCTACTATCTAACGTTAGACTTTTTTTTTGTAAACTTTGATAAGCTTTTAATATGTTGTTGGACAAAATGTATACTAAAGATAAAGTATATTTACATCCGTTGAATTTTTTAATTATTTTAATTTAGTTTAGAGGATGGAACAGCCGAGATGGACCAATAGATCCCATGTTATCCCAAAATATTATATTAAGTGCGCGCGCATTTTCAGGACAGGCAAATATTGAATATTATACAATAAATATTTCTTTAGATTTCAAACATTAGTGAGGGCAGCTGGCAAGACATAGATATATTTTTTTAAATAGCCTGACATTACGTAATTGTTTTAAAAGAAAATGTACTCATACTTTTATTTAACTTTACTTATTCGTGCAGTCAAACTTGCGTAAGATTGTTATCAATGTATTTAGTTTTTAAAACAGGAAATAGATGAACTTAAAGTATTTACAACATCAGATGCTATATTAATTTCCTTACTGCCAATAGTGTCGCTTATTCTGCGGACTTACATCGCTAGAAACCGGGTTTCGATACCCGTGGTGGGCAGAGCACAAATAGCTCTTGTGTAGCTTTGTGCATAATTAAAAAAAAAAACAAACAGACACTGCTAACAGTCAACCATATATTTAATTTTGTGACAATCAGACGAGTTATTAATTCCACGAAGTAATTAAAACTTCATATAACGTCATGAATTCAAATTGCATAATATAATAAGATTTAGGGTTGTCTGTAATTTTTTATTAAGAGAAAATCAAGTTATATGATTTCTTTAGCTTGTATTTTAAGTGGTAGTCTCCACAAAGACGAAGAAGACCTACGTATTTACTGTAAAGCATCTTGTAAAAGTCTTGTTTTATGACCTTGCAATGAATGCTTGACTTCACATGGTTGGATCGAGCTCTTTGTAATTCACAGATTAGCTAGTGGAGTGAAGTTATAATCAATGACAGGACTGTTCACTAGCGTAGGCGCGTGGCCAACTTTCCCACGCACATAGGAGTGGGAGATAAAATATGGTCCATTTCTGTAAAATCTTAGTATAGATTCTCTCCAATAGTTTTTCCCTCCCTACATGACACTTCAGAACTATAAGTACTTCCAATTGACATTATCACAATTTATGGGCCTGCCTGCACCCCGATGCAGCATCTCCCAGAACTACTTTGATGTGTAGTCGATTCAGGCCTGGATAACAGTTGGGGGGCCCCTACATGGAACCAGACAGACGACTGACTGTAGCCGCAGCCAACCGTGGAAAGTAATATAATTATTGTCTGATCAGAGAAAGCATAGTGGAATATTCTTACTTGTCTTTGAACCAAATATTATAATTTAACATTTTTATTTAATTTAATGTTTCAGTGTTTAATGCAAAGGTGTATTGTTATTCACGGACATGTGAAATCTAGAAGTTTCTGTTAAATTCGTAATATATTTATAATAGCTCTAGTAACAAGTATCTCTGATTTCTTGTTTCATAATTACAGTTATAACCTGTCATGGTTAATTATAAACTATAAAACATTTGGCCTTTACATTTAGATTGAAGATTCATTCATTACATGTCTCGATCATATTTCATTGAACCTCTGGTAGAACGTACAGCGGTAAGTCTGAACGCTTATAACGCTACAAATCAGGTTTAGATACTCACGATGAGCACAATACAGATAATTCATGCTTTGGGCTTAGCAACACGACTTATAAATACGACTTTAATTCATCCTAGAAAGTATATAAGTATAAAATGTATTCAAGAAAGTCTATAAAACCCTATCGTTTTCGACAAGCGAATTTACTATTTTTATACGATTTCCCAACTTTTTTTTTCCTTCCGTGGTTTAAGTATTATAAATAAGTATAAAACTTTTTCTTTTTTTTGTATATTAAAAGATTGCTTCAATTGTTTGTAAGAATATGCAATCGGTCATGTGAGAAAACTAACACACATTCTATTTTTGTTGAACTTTGCTTCACTAATTAAATATAATCTCATTTTAGGACAGTATTTGTTTGTTTTTAACATTTGTTAGACATTTTAAAGTTTATCTGGCGCAGCATACTTGATCATTGTAAAATAATAAGCTCGTCAGAAAATTTTGAAATGCTATGACAAGCACAATTTTAAAGACTTAGTAATGATTTGTCATACAAATCCAACACCCAATGTGTGTATTTATAGGTAGAGTTTTCCTTTGTAAATTGTATTGTAAATTACAAGTGATTTCTCAAAATACAGCAACATTGAGTTGTGGAACTTATATCTCGCTGTTTTATTTACATTTTGGTAATTTGGTTTATTGTTGTTATTTGCTATTAAGCATAAAGCTACACAAAGGGCTATCTGTGCTCTGCCCACCACGGTTATCGAATCCCGGTTTCTAGCCGTATAAGTCCGCAGACATACCGCCGTGCCACTGGGGAGCTGGTTTGTTCCACAGCGAAGAGTATTGTTGCGTCAGCGAGTCACATGACTACA